AGAAGGAGCTCTGGTAGCTCAGTGTCTAAGGCATTTGACTGCTAACCAGGTTGATGTTTCAAACCCACCAGCTACTCCATGGAAGGAAGATGGGGCATTCTACTTCAGTAAAGATTTACCACCTTGAAAACCCAATGGGGTTGCTATGAGTTGAAACTGACTTGATGGCAGTGGGTTTGGTTTTTGGTTTCATATAGTAGGAAAGGGTGAGATGTGGGTAAGACACACTATACTTAAGGTTTTAAATTGTTAAAATCAGATTCCATAGAAAAAACTCTTAAAAGGAGCTAAATCAAGCTGGGACACTAAGAGATTAGTAATAATAGATTATTACAAAGTTTCTCAACCAGAGCATCTTTCTGGCACTTCAGAAAAACTGCTGTGGCCATCCTTTGTGAGTGACACACTGAAAATTAGTCCCTTTAATAACTGTTGACAAGTTTACTCCTCTTCTCCTAAATGGTGGCTGGCATTGGATATGCAAAGAGTTAGTCAACAGACACTTGCATCAGTTTCCAAATCACTGTTGTTTCTGTGATTTAAGTTGTCAAAACTGTAAAACTGTAATTCATCGATTCCGTCTGTGGCCAAGTTGTTAAACATTCCTAAACTGGAAATGTCCTGACCAACTTTAACGGCCAATTAAATTGAGTCTCTTTTATTTTGTACTTTCTACCTGATGTGTACTCAAGCTCTAAAACACATATATCCCTGGCAAAAACAGTGACAGTGAATTTACAACAATAAATGTTCTCGGGTTAAAGTCTGCACTGACATTTGCTCATCAGTCACTGGTGTGTAAGTCACCAAGGGCCTACAGCTGGGTGGACTACCCTGCCTTCCACTTCACCAGAACAGGAAACGCCAAGGGAAGAGGCACTGAACAGGCTAAAGACCTTCACCGCTTACAGTTTAACTTGTTTTTAAAAAAACAGGCTAACTTGTTTTTTTTTTTTTAAAAAAAAATGTGAAATACTGTAAAATAATCTATTTTTGGATTCATGTGTTTTCCAGGTGGATATAGTCTGTAAACAATGTGAATAAAATATTTAACATATTAAACTCTCCGTTTGGGTAAATCCTTCAAGACAGACTCGGCAAAAGCATTGACAACTTATAAATCTTTGCTGACCTTTGCATTTCCTAGCAGTTCAGATTTGGAGCTTTTTAAAGAGCCCAGAAATATATGGAGTGATGCTACTTTCCACCTTTACAATTATCACACAAAGGTCCCTATCACAAAATGGAGACCATGGGCCAATGTGTCCTACAGATTTTTGTTTGGTGCGCACACACACATACCATAGATAGATAGGTAGACAGACAGACAGACAGACTTACGAGATATGTATCTCTCTCATCTAACTCACTCACTGCCACTGAGTCGATTCCGACTCATAGCGACTCCCCCTTGGGTTTCCGAGGCAGTATCTCTACAGTAGTGGATTGCCCAGTCTCCTGAGCATATATCTCATAGATAAATATTTTGCTTATTGTTTTTGAAGTTTTGGTTTATTTCTTACTGTGAATTAGTTGCCTTATTTAAAATTCAGGAGATTTACATAAAAATGCAGATTTCCAGCTTTTCTTAAACAATCAGAAGATTTGGCAATACTAGTTTTTCCAGTCACTTGTGGAGGTAATTTCCTGGATCTAAGTACAAGTTGCCCCTTCAGACACAGCATTTGGTCACCACTTCCTATTGATTTCCAGACTGTAGGCTGTCAGCTGCCATGAACCTTTCTTCTGCAACTGTTGGTGTTTGGTTTTTGTTTCGCTTTTTATTGTTCCACATACTCAGAATGCATTTAAGGAGGCCTTGGCTGATATAATGGTTAACATTCAACTGCTAACCAAAAGGTTGGAGGTTCAGATCTACCTGATGGCACCTTGGAAGACAAGCCCATGATCTGCTTCCAAAACATCACAGCCTTCAAAATTCTATGGTGTACACTTCTTCCGTGACACACATGGAGTCGCCATGAGTCAGAGTCAACTGGGTTAGCTACTACTAACTACTACTTGAGTTCTGCTACTCAAGGTTTCAGTTTGTAAAACCATTAAACCAGCATCTCCTCTGTACTCACTTCCAAGAGCAGCTGTAAAAAATCACCACAAACTTGGCTTAGAACAACAGAAATTTATTCTTTCACAGTTCGGGAGGCCAGAAGTCCAAGATTAAGGCACTGGCAGAGCCACACTCCCTGCAAATGTTCTAAGGAAGATCTCCCCTTGCCTCCTGGAGCCTCTGGTGGTTCCAGGTGTTCTTGGCTCGTGGCTGCCTAACTCCAGTCTGTCTCTGTCTCCACCTGACCGGCTCCCTCTCTTCTGTCTCTTAAGGACACGTCATTGGAACCAGGGCCCACATATAATCCAGGATGATCTTGACATCATTAACTTAATTACATCTGCAAACACCCTTTTTCCAGATAAGGTCACATTTACAGGTTCTGGGGGTTAGGACATGAACAAATATTTTTGGGGACCACCATTTAACCCACTATACTCTTTTGGGAGTTTTACTAAAATATACGTCAACTGAAACGATCAAAAGCTGTTTAGACCAGCACAGGTGCTTTCACTTATAAATCTTACTCAACTGGAATTTTCCAAATCTACATTCTTTTGAGACGTCACCATAGTAAAACCAAGCATACTTGTACCTATTACAAACGGATGGATTTTAATGTAAGAACATGTGGCCCCAACACAATTTTGCCCCCTACTTCAAAAGGACTCACCTCTGCTCAAATGGCAACTTTCCATAACCTATTCCTTTTTTTTCCAACTAACTTTCTCAAAGCTTCTTTATAAACGCAGACTGCTGTCCTTCTCAAAAAGGAGCTCTGGTGGCGTAGTGATTAAAGAATTCAGCTGCTAAGCAAAAGGCTGGTGATTCTAAGCCAACAGCTGTTCTGTGGAAGCAAGATGAGGCAAACTGCTTACATCAAGGTTTACAGCCTACGGGGCACTTCTCCTCTGCCTTGCAGGGTCACTATGAGTTGGAATTAACTTGATGGCAATGGGTTTGGCTTTGGTCTTTCTCAAACTGCAGTCCTTGGTGCCTCCTCTTGAAAGCCCAGTTTCCAGGCTGCAGCCGTTTGGTTGAATCCCAAAGAAAACGCTTCTTAAAATTTTCAGAAGAATCAGCTGCAGAATCTGTCATTTAACACATGTAGCTTCATAATACAACTCATTTAAAGATAGAACATACAAAAGACTGTTTAAAATACCAAACTTTAAGAAAATACCAAAGCAAAAGATAGAGACGATAGACAATGCAGAAGTCACTCAACCTTCAAAAGACAAAATTGTTAGCTCTCTAGATTCATGATAGAGCTATTTCAGTATATTAATATTTAAAGGCTTAACATTTTCAAAAATTCAAAATTAAACACAAGTTTTTGGAGAGTACCTCTACTAACCCTTGATATTTTCAAAAGTTCTGGTGAGGATTTTAACTCCTTTGTTTCATCAGAAAGCTTAAAGTTCAATCGGACCCTGTGTTCTTTATTAATACCATGAACTGAGAGGCAAAGAAATGGCTCAAGCAGCTTGTTCACTGCTTTCCTCTCAGAAAAGTGCGTGGTGAGAATTTCTTAAGACTCATTTGCTTATTAGCACAGCTTACATATGACAGTAATAGCCCTTTAACAGGAAAAGAAAAAAAAAAAGTGTTGTTCAACTAAAATTCTGAAATTCAACTTGAGAAAAAAAACAAGAGGATTCTTCCCAGTACTTTTAAAAGAACAGAGTATGTCTTCCTCTTAAGAGAGTATGAGGCTGACATTAACTTACCAAAGAATTTGGTCCTCTTCCTTGGTTCCTGAGAGATAACCATACCCATTGTCACGGAGCGGATTCTGACTCACAGCAACGCTACAGGGCAGGGTAGAACTGCCCCATGGGTTTTCAAGGCTGTAATCTTTAATCTTTCTCCCACAGACCGGCTGGTGGGTTTGAACCACTGACCTTTCGGTTAGCAGCCAAGAGCTTAACCACTGGTCCACCGGAGCTCTTTCAGATAACCATAAACTCTTAGAATTTCCTAACTGAGATGTTTTTGTTATCTACAGGCCTCCAGCCTACATCTGAGTTTATGTTCATGAGGTGACTCATACTGGGGCTGGCCAGGCCAGAAAGATCCACCAGGTGATATCAGCTGACCTCAGGGATGTGGGCTGATTCAATCAATCATGCCTATGCAATGATAGATAAAGAGCCCAATAAAGGCTCTGGACAAGGAAATTCCACCAACTTTCTGGCTGGTGAACGAAATCAATGCATGTAGGAGGGCAGCGTGTCCCTTTTGGGGGCATGGAGGCTCTGCATTGGATACCCTCCTACACTCGCCCTATGTGTCTCTTCATGTCCATTCTTTTTGCTATAAAACGATAATCATTAAGTATAGTCCTTTCCTCAGTTCTGTGAGCCATTCCAGCAAATTATTGAACCCAAGGGGATAATGGAAGCCAGTAGGTCAGAAGTAAGGGGGACCCTGAACTTAGAGGTGG